AGATATTTGCTTGTGCGGTGATAGAACAAAATTTTGGTGTTTCTGACATTCCTTTCCAGGTTAAGCCATTGCTAGAGGACTTCATTGATGTGGTTCCTGAGGAGATGCCATTGGATTTGCCACCTATGATAGACATCTAGTACTATATTTACCTTGTGCCAGGAATTGTTATTCGCTACAAAGCTACATATAGGATGAGCACTGAGGAGCAAAAGGAGTTGCATTCACGGGTTCATGATCATATTAAGAAGCAGGATGTGAAATATAAACAACAAGCTGATTGGCATAGAAATCAAGCCATTTTCAAGGAAGGTGATATGGTATGGATCCACCCTAGGAAGGAACATTTTCTGGCTAACAGGATTTTTAAACTACCTAGAGCTAATGGTCCCTTCAGGGTGCTTGGGAAGATCAATAACAATGCTTACAAGATTCAACTTCTTGGGAAATACAATATTTCTAGTACTTTCAATGTTGCTGACTTGTCTCCTTATCATGATGGTGAAGAGGGCATAACGTGCAAGAGTAACCATGAAGACCCGTTAGATTCGAGGACGAATCTTCTTTTGGCAGGGGAGAATAATGCACCTGGGTGACTTACTTGGATTGGGCTTTTCTATAATTTATTCCATAGTCTAGGGTTTTTCAATAATTGTTAATTATTTCCTTTTTTGTTATTTTTAGATTATGTTTGAGTATGTGTTGATTGTGCGTTATCTCCTTTGATTGCGCATGATTATAGTCATTTACTTTTTTGTTATTTTATTTTTCCTATTTAAGGCTTGGAGAACCCTATTATTATTTGGTTGTTTTTGGTTAAATGAAATCAAGAAAAGAGAAAAGTGTTTTCTCACAATTCTTATTTCGTTCTTCTTTCTGTTTAGCCAATAGGTTACTGCTTCGGCATTAAATTAGTTCTTTAATAAATTCTCATACAGACAAACTGCTAAATATTCTACTTACCTATGAATTTCACTTCTGATATTAAATTATATTGTGCTGTAATCGAATTTTTTTTATTTAATTGAAGATTCAACTGTTAGCTTGTCGTAAAGCTATGTTTTCATATTTTATTATATATATTAAGGGTGAAAACTTGATTGATGCAAGTTTATCAAGAAAAAAATAATATTATTATTGATGCAAGAGAATCCAGTCTTTTGTCTTACTGACATATGGTCATTGAATATGTTTAGTACTATTGCTGAAATGCTAAAGTTCCCCTCATTAGTAGTTTTTATTTTTCACTTAGGCTAATAGTGGTTTCATTCATCAATTACCATTGGTTCAAATGGTTTCAGACTTTCCTTCACCTGCCCCAGCTCGTTCAACTAATCAAGTAGTTGCCTTGCCATTGGATGCAAAGATTGAAATTGAGTGCATAGCAGCACTATGATCTCCACTTTCAATAGTATAATAAATAGATGCTAACTCATTATTCCGAATAAAACCATGGTTCTGCTTCGCTTCCTTCCACCTCACCTTCACCCAATATAGTGACTCGGGCTTCTACAACATTCATCCTTCTATCGCATAAAGAACAACCAAAGGAGAGTTTTATATGCAAATTTTCCACTCAATCCATATATAATATTGCACTCACCAGTATAATTATAGTAACTAATTTATGAGTTACAATATTACATGTCCTCGTTTAGTATATCTTAGTTTACTTATGAGTTTATATGCTAATTACTGAGATAAACTTCATGCTTATTATCAACCCAAAAACATATAAACTAACACAGTTCAAAAGATAGCATTGTTAAAATAAGATAAACTTCATGCTCAATCCATAGGCAACTCTCACGTGTACATGGCTGTTGGAATGCTACATCAGAACTGCTCATCTCAGTAATAGTCATTGCTGCAATTATGCTGCCAAATTTATGCAGACCAATTAATCATTTCCTTCTTTGTTACTCGAGGACAAGCAACGTTTTGAGTTTGGAGTGTGATAACTCTCCCAAATGAGAGTTAATTTAGTATTTTTATGATGAATTTGTTGCATAAATTCCATATAAGTTGACCTCTTTGCATGATAATTAAGCTAAATATTGTATATTTATGATTAAGTGCTTTGAGATGACTAAGTATTGAAAATAAGATAATATTCCTTGATTTTATATAAGAAAAGATGACTTATTGAGTGTTTGTCTTTGCAGGAAAAATTGACGTAGGAATGCTGTAGCAGAGAAGCTGACAAAGTAATGATATATCAAGCGCTATAGCATGACAGCATGGACAAAGGAACAACCGAACTTTTGAAATTCAAAAGTTAGTTAAATCCCAACAAATGGATAAGACACCAGCAAGAACAAGGGACGTTTCTGAAGATTTAATCTTATCCCAAAATCACAAGGATCAAGGACAATATTCAAAGATTGAGTCTTATCCTAGAATCCTAAAGAACAAGGACAACAACCTTTTGTTCGGTCAACAACATTCGCACAAGAATTCAAAGAAGATCAAGATCTTATCCAAGCAAGTGCCAACAAAGCCCAAAATCCCAAAGAACAAGGACAACAAACTCACACTCACATTCGGTCAACAACAACATTGGCACAAGAAATTCAGGAAGATCAAGATATTATCCAAGCAAGTGCCAACAGCCCAAGAATCTAGGGATACGATAAAGCTACAGCAACAAGATTCATAGCTTTTCACTCCTAACCCTAAAGCCCAATTTTCCAACCATCTTTCCTATTTAAAGAAGAACTCCCCCACGAGTTAAAGGACAGTTCGAAACACGGTTTGGAGGAGAGTTCAGAGAGGTTGAAGGTTCGAGAAGTCAGAAGCAAGTGGGAACGTTTTAGAGAGAGAAAGTGAGGTTCTTGGAGAGGGAAGAACTGCTGGAGCAAGGCAGTGACAACGTCTTCCTACAACATTCGTTACCATCTTCTTTTCTGTTTTCCAATGAGTTCTTCTTTTCTTTTCTTTTTTGTTTTATTTAATTCCATTATGAGCTAATTTGCTCTATAGGTTAGGTGATAAAGTACCTATGCTGTAACATTGAGATGTATGCCTAAACTCTGTTTATGTTAATGTTTAATTAGATATTCAATGAGTTTGCTTAATCTTATTCATGTGTGCATGTCGAGAGATACATATGTGATATTGAGGAGGTTGGGGCCGAGATGTTTCCGAATCCAGACCCTTGTTGAATTGTGTGGATTAATTACGTTAAGAATAACTTAATTAAGTTGTGGGTAGAGAGGTCATTCAATCCACATAGGCTAGAACTTGAACTTGAACAATTCAGTGATTAGTTTGACCATAGAGATGTGAGAATTAGTTATTGAGTATATATGTTAGGTTGGCCAAAAGCCCCAGCATACCTTAGTGTTTGGTTACTAGTTAAACATTGATAAAGCATTGTTAAAGCATCGTTCCAGTATTACTGTATCAGGGAAATTGAACCTGACCTATATCTCATCCATCATCTTAATACCTATTATTTTAGTTTACTGTTTTCTTAATTTCAATTGTCTTTTATTTTACAATCCAATCATCACAATAAATCATTTTACCTACTTTCTTCACCTAAATAATCATTATTTGACACTTATCTCTGTGTGAACGATACTTGGACTCACACATCCCTTTATTACTTGTGACATGTGCACTTGCGTATTTGTGTGGAAGATTTAATTGATTACAAATTGCACAACAAGTTTCTGGCGTCGTTGCCGGGGATAATTATAAAGTTGTTTTTATTTTAGTGAAGACATTTTCTTTCTTTTATATACTTTACCTTTCTTACTTACTGTTTTCAAGGTGTTAATTGCAGCGTATGAGCAGTTCTTCATCAGAGCAAGAAGCAGATTTTGATCCTGAGATTTAAAGAACGTTTCGAGCAAGAAGGAGACAGCAAAGATGTAGCAATCTTACAGGAATACCTAACATGGCAGAAAGGCTGAGAAACGGTGAAGAGGATGGACCTAGAAATAACAATGAAGGTCTAAATCAAGTTGAGATTCCAATCAGAGCGCATGCAATTCCTACGCTCAATAATCTGCATTTTGGCATCGTTCAACCTAATGTAGTAGCAGAGAATTTTGAGTTGAAGCCAGTGATGTTTAACATGCTGCAAATCATTGGTCAATTCAATGGAATGCCTAGTGAAGACCCTCACCTTCACCTCAAGAATTTTATGGATGTAGCAGACACTTTCAAAATAAGAGGAGTTACATCTGATGCCCTAAAGATGAAGTTGTTCCCATATTCCCTCACCAACAAAGCTAAAGCATGGTTGAATACTTTACAACCACAATCAATCTGAAGTTGGGAGGAGTTGGCGGACAAGTTTTTATTGAAGTTCTTTCCTCCTATGAAGGCAGCCCAATACAGGAATGATATATCAACCTTCAAGCAATTGCAAGAAGAGTCATTTTATGAGGCTTGGGAGAAATTCAAGGATCTGTTGAGGAAGTGCCCAAATCATGGCATTCCCGAATGGATTCAAATGGAGACATTCTATAATGGGCTTAATGGACCAACAAAGAGCATGATCGATGCATCATCTGGAGGAGCCCTTTTAGAAAAAACATATACAAAAGCATATGCAATATTAGAGAGGATGGCAATCAACAACTATCAGTGGCCTGTAGAAAGATCAAGTTTAACACCAAAGAAGGCTACTGGAGTTTGGGAGCTCGATGCTGTAATAGCACTGTCAGCACAAATTTCAGCTTTGAACAACTCTATCAAGACGATGAATCTGTCTGCTGAAGCTAAAGCCCAACCAGTCAATGCCATAACTGATGCTATATCATGTGTTTTCTGTAGTGGTCCCCATGTTTATGATAACTGTCCACAAAACCCTTAATCTATTTTTTTATAGGTAATTTCAATAGGAACAACAATCCATATTCAAATACCTATAATCACGGATGGAGGAATCACCCAAATCTTTCCTATTCCCAAGGACAACATCATGGACAGCATCAAGGACATCAGCAATTGTCCTCAAATACAGCAGGAAGGTCATATAAAGCTCCATGCCCCCTAGATTCACGCAGCAGCATCATCAACCTAGACAGCAATCTGATACATCAAATTCGCTGGAAAGTATGCTGAAAGATTACATAACAAGGAGTGATGCTATAATTCATAATCAGGCTGCATCAATCAAGAATTTGGAGACTCAAGTAGGTCAATTGGCAGAAGCACTTAGAAGCAGACCTCAAGGAACCTTGCCAAGAAATACTGAAGTCCCAAAGAAAAATGGAGAAGAACAGGTCAATGCTATATCATTGCGGAGTGGTAAAGCCGTGGATAAACCAGAAGTCATAAAGAACTACCATGAGCAGAAGCAGAAAGCATTGAGTCAGATTGAAGAAGATAAAGTTGCTGAAGAGGTGGGAAATCATGATCAACCCAAAGAACCTCAAGTTGTTGACACTGAGAATATTGCTACATCAAAACCACAGCAAGGTCAGACTGTCAGCAAAGCAACAAGACCACCACCTCCCTTCCCTCAAAGATTGCAGAAGCAAACTGATGACAAGCAGTATAAGAAGTTCCTTGATGTTCTAAAACAGTTACACATTAATGTACCCTTGGTTGAAGCTCTTGAGCAAATGCCAAGTTATGCAAAATTCATGAAGGACATCTTGGCAAAGAAGAGGAAGCTGGAGGAATATGAGACAGTAGCTCTCACCCAAGAAAGTAGTCAATACTACCTGAACCAGTTACCACCAAAGCTAAAAGATCCAGGGAGTTTTACTATTCCTTGTACTATTGGTAACCAATATGTAGGTAATGCATTATTAGATTTAGGCTCAAGTATTAACCTTATACCTAAGAGTATTTTCAGGAAGCTTGGAATAGGAGAAGCACGTCCAACCACTGTTACGTTGTTGATGGCTGATAGATCAATAACTTATCCAGAAGGAAAAATTGAAGATGTGTTGGTAAGAGTGGATAAGCTCATTTTTCCCGCTGACTTTATTGTTCTTGACTTTGAAGCAGATAGGGAAGTACCCATCATTTTGGGAAGAACATTCTTAGCCACTGGACGAGCAGTGATTGATGTTGAGAAATGAGACTTAACTATGCGAGTCAATGATGAGCAAGTTACATTCAATGTACTCAAAGCCATGAAGTATCCTGATCAAGTGGAAGAATGCGCCAGCATGGACACTATGGATGCAGTTCTGCTACAACAACTTAAGTAGCAGACAGAGACAGAACCACTAAATGTTGCTATAACAGAAGAATGTGCAAACGATGAAGAGGAGATGAAAGAATGTCTAGCATGGATGGATTCCCAACCAACAAGGCCATACAAGGAGAAACACTTTGAATCCCTTGGAGAAAGAGTGATAAAGACACTCAAGCCATCCATAGAAGAACCTCCAGTCATTGAGCTGAAACCACTGCCCCAACATCTTAAATATGCATACTTAGGAGATGAAAATACTTTACCTGTTATTATCTCATCTTTTCTCTCTGATGCAGAAATGAAGCAGTTGCTAAAAGTACTAAAGGAGTACGAAAGAGCCCTCAGATGGAGAATATGCCAGGATTATAGGAAGCTTAATGATGCTACAAGAAAGGACCATTTTCCCTTGCCATTCATTGACCAAATGTTGGATAGACTAGAAGGGAAGGAGTTTTATTGCTTTTTAGATGGAT